CTCTAGAGGGAGTCCAAAAACCGAAGGTGGGTGGGACAGGCAATGGGTGAAATGGCCTTTGGAGAAGGCTGCCGGCATTGACGCTGAGTTACGCCGCTGTTTGCCCCTGGCTGGCTGTTCCCCACTAATCCTCTCTTCCTCCCCATATCCTGTTCTTCCCTAAAGCTTCATTCAACCCAATGGGATGGAATAAACACTTAGTGGTGCCACTGGGGCCAGCGTCGTGCAAGACACCACAGAGAGAACAGAAGGAAGAGAGAAGTGCCCCCTGCCTTCAAGGAGTCTAGGTGGGCAGAAGATGGGGGTTGGCGCATCTTCAAGGGGGGCAAGGGCATGAGGAGCGATATAGCCTCTCTAAGCCTCAGTTTCCCCATCTGTAAAATGGGATCAGCACCATTGTCCCAGGCATTGTCCTGAGGATTTAATGAGGGGGTGCGGGAGAGACAGCGGCCTGGTGCCAGGTACGTGGGTTGGGCTCAGGGAACGCTGGTCATGACTCTGGTTCCACAAGTCTGGCACCGCGTCTGTTCTGCTCAGCGTTCGTTCATTCTGCAAGAAGCTCTGGGCTCACTGGAGGACTCTGATATGTATTTCAGTTAGTTTGGCCCTCTGCCGGAAAGGACTCTCAGCGAGAGGTGGATCCAGGATAAAAGAAAATAATAATCACCACCCCTGCCCCCCACACATACAGGATGAAATAAAATAATGAAAGGGAAAGATGTTTTGTCAACAGCACCCAAAGCTGTTATTAAGGACGCTCAGGACACACTTGTTGAGGCAATGTGAGACACGCAAGGTCTGGGGGATGGAGGTGCAGTCTCGGGGGTCAGGCAGGTGAGGAAGGGGGGCTATGGCAGAAGAGCTGGAAGAAGCGGCTGGAGGGCACTGGGCCTGAGGCTGGCCCCGCCTCTCCTCACCGCGGCCCAGCGCGCGCCGACACCTCCAGCCTGCTCCTCCGCGCTCTGGGGCCACGGGCACGTCACTGCCCTGCCCTGGGCCTGAGAAAAGGGCAACATCACGTTGCTGCTTCACGTGGCAGGGACTGTGGGGGCAACGGTGCTGATCCCAGTGCCTGGCACAGAGCCAGAGCCCGGTGCCCTCGGAGGCAGCGTGGGGCAGCGGTCGGCCCGTGGGCTCTGCGCTCTGGGGGCCGCCTTGGAGTGGCTGCTGAACAAATTATGTGACCTTGGGCAAGTTACTTCACCTCTCTGAGCCTGTTTTTCCATCTGCAAGCCAGGGGTAATTAGTGCCTGCCTCCTAGGCTGTTGTAAGGATTAAACGAGTTCGTATGAGTAAAGAGCTTAGAGCGCAGTGGGGCGCAAGGGAGGTGTTAGGGTGGCTGCAGGGGGGCGGGCTAGTGTAAGTTATTGGGAGGAGGGGAGCCAGGAGGTTGAGTGGGAAGGAGCCACAGGAACCCGCCACCCCGGCCCCTGACCCTGGCACCCTTGGAGCTTCCGTGCCATGTGTCTGTACGTGTGTAGTGTGTGTCTGGATAGGTGTCTGTATGTATCCATATGTGTCTTGTGTGCATGTGTGTGTGTGCATGTGTGTGTGTGTGTCTGTATGCCTGTGTATCTGTGCGCGCGTGTGCACATGTGTGTGCGTGCACACATGTGGCGAGGGTTGCTGGAGTCTGTCTGCAGAGCTGCCGGGAGTGGCCCAGGAGGTGGCTCAGCCAGACCAAACAATCCCAGCACTTCCAGCTCCAGGCCTTTCTCTGACTGTTTGCTTTCTTTCTCTCCTTTCCCGGTTCCCCTTTAACCAGTTCCTGCTTCCAGAGAGCAGAGCTGGGAGGGAGGCCCTGGCAGGGTAGGTACAGGGCCCTCCCCTTCTCCCTCCACACCATTTCCCAGCTCCTTGCCTCCACCCTCCTGTTCCTGCCTCCTTGCCACGTTGACCCCACACAGGCCCCTTCCCCTCTCCGAGCCTCAGTTTCCCAGTTTCCTCCAGTAGGAATTTATCCAGTGCTCCTGCCAGCAATGAACATGAATAACAAGGTTACTGCTCACCCGCCACCTGGACTGAGGCCCAGCTTTCCCCTAGAAGGTGTTTGGTCCTGTTGTGGCAAGATCGGAAGCTAGTCCCTGGGGGAGAAGCCCTCCTGGGGTTCCCCAGCCTCTCGTCCCTGGCCTTGCTATCTCTCTAAAGGCTGTGGACCTGACTGAGGACTAGAGGGACTATTTGAGGGGGTCAGCTCAGGGCCAGGCATCAGGCCTCCAGGCTTCCATTCAGCTAGGGAGTATTCACTGAGCACCTACTATGTGCAGGAGCTTTAGGTTGGCTCATTTAATCCCCACAGCCACCCTATGAGGTAGGTGCTATCTCTTCCCCAGTGTTATAGATGAGGAAACTGAGACTCAGGTGGGGTTAAGCAACCTTTTTGAAGTTACACAGCTAGGAGGGGCATGGCTGGGATGGTACCGAGGCCTGAGAAAGCCGGTGCTTTTCCCTCATCTCAGGGGACATCATTCAGTGTCATTTTCTCTTAGGTAAATGACAATGACACCTTCTCCTTAAGTCGGGAGAGTTGTCAACAGGGCCAATAATCTATGACCTATTACTGATCAGGTCAGATGCAGTGTGTACCAGGGCTCGTGTGCCTCATCTCCTGAATCTTCACGACAGCCCATTTTACAGGTGAGGAAAGTAGAGTAGAGGGAGATGCAGCAACCTGGCAAGGCCCACAGCTGCAGCAGGAGCAGAGCGCGGGTCCACCTGGCCTCTTTTCTTCTGTTTCTTTTTCCCTAACCCAGCAGCAAACTTCAGCTTTCCTTCACCTGGAGTCAATATTGTCACCCATAGACCTGGATGTGACCCTATAGATAAACTGCTTTGTCACCCTTCCACACTCTGCTGTTATGGAAGTCAGGGAAAAGAAATCGAGGTGGAATTTAACAAAGCAGGGCCCCAGGGCATCACTGTGAGTGGTAACCTAAGTTTAACTAGAATCCTTGGCCTCCATCTGAACTCAGGCTTAGGCCACCAAGAATGACGCATTTAAGGGGACCATGGTCATACAAACAGTTTCACTTTCCAATTGAGAATGTTCCATTAGGGAGAGGTTCTTCTTTAAGCCCATATCCTGCCCACTACGCAGTGCCACCTCCCACTCCCTGGGCAGGCAGATCTCTCTATAACGCTGCCCACAAAGCTGCCCAACGGGTCATACAGCCGGCTTCTGTTTGCCCTTGGCCTTGGGTGTAGCTGCAGGCCAGTTAGAATGTGATAAGTTCTGCAAGCAAGAAATGTGCCCCTGACCCTGACCAGCTGCTTCCCCAGGATTTGACACAGCTTTGAGCCTGGGTCCAAAAGTGTGGATGACTCCATGTGACCCATCCCTGCTCCAGGGAGCCTGGTCCTAAAACTCACAGGTTTCTCCCCACTCCCCCACCCCTGGGAAGGCATCCTTCTAGAGAAACAAGAACCTCCTAGAAGCAGACAGATGCCATTCCATCCTAGGACAGAGCTAGAGAATTACTTCAGCCTTACCGAGGACAAAGTCTTCTGGAGCCAGTGGGAACACCGAGGCCCCGAGGCCCCGAGAGGGTAAGGAGCTTGCCCCGGGCTCCTTCCTCTGCACCTGCTGTCTCCCCAAGAAGGGGTCATGAATTCACTCCCCATCCCAGGATGCCATCTACATCCTTGAACCAAAGTTTGGTGCCCTCTGCCTGTTGCAGGATGAGACGAGAAAAGGCAATGGGGTAGCTGCACCCCCTGCAGGAGGGCAGGGATGTGCTTGCTTAGAGAGTTGGGGATGAAACCAATTACCATGAGGATCCACAGATAAACAATCATTGCCATGAGTAACAATAAGAGCAAGAGCGAGCTGCTCAGTAAGGGGGAGGCATGCAGGGGCATGTCCTCAATGACACCAGCTCCAACCAGCCCAGCCTGGAGAAGTTGCGGGGGGGGAGGTGTCTCTGCCAAGGGGCTCCCCACACCCCTTGCACCCCTCCCAGGCCGGTCCTGGGTTAGCACGTAAAATGCAGCCATGTGGCCATGGAGCCAAGGCTGAATGGCAGGAAAAGCTGAAGCCAGGCTGGCCCCTGGCCTACCCACCCACCCTGGCAATTCAAAGCAAGGCTGACGCTGGACAAAGCACTTGAAAATGTCAATCAGGGAACAATCTCTTTCCCAAACTCCCTGCCTTTGACCTTGGGCACCCAGCCCTGATCTGGGATGGGCTGATCTTTTTCCTAACTCTGCCTATTCCATCCCCAGCCCCTTGTCACACAGCACACACACACACAGCACACAAACTCCAAGGTGACAACTGAGCTTTTCACTCTAATCGCAGAATTAGTGGGCTGCTAAATTTGTGGGGACCAAAAGATGGTCTACACAGTAGATCACATCTTTGGGTCCCAGACAGCCAGAACCAACACTCCTATGATCATTTTAAATGGTAGAAGCATAAAGAGAGCCTGGTGCCAAACTGGACAGGACCCCAGGGATATTATAGTAGTTCCCAGTCTTCATTCATTTGGGTAATTTATACTTTTATTGAAACTCACTCACTGGTTTGACCTGCTTTTATATATTTTTACCTAATGTGGATGAAAATAACAACCCTTGTTAAATAAAAACTGGTCATCCACATGGTACCATCTCATGAGCTGCCAGAGTGGCAAAAACCACACTTTGGGAAATGCTATTTTGGCCCAGCGTTGCCATTGTAGAGATGGGGAAACTAAGGCCTAGAGATGGAAGGAGACCTGTCCAACATCCACACAAGGCAATGGCAGGACCACCACCAGAACCCAGACCCAGATCCCAGCCAACCTTGCGCCTTACAAAGAGAAGACCCAGGACTCAGGTCCCGCTGGGGCCCCCAGGTGCCCAAACTTGCCACTGAATCTGAGCACAGCCTCCAACCTTCCCCCCCAAAGCTGAGCTCACGTCCCAGTAATCCTCTGACATCTCCAGGTCTGGACAACCCCCATACTGTCTCCCTGATGCTGTGGACAAGCTGTCCCCTCTCCTGGGCTTGGTTTTCTCACCTTCTAGGGCTACTGCGAACATGCCACGCTCCTGGAGGTGAGCATTCTGAAAAAGATGAAAACAGACGAGGGAGAAGAGATTGTTAGCAGCCCCTTGCTCTCTGCCTCAGCCTTTCTCTCTTGGAAATGGGTAGAAGTTTGGCAGGTGTGAAACGACTGGACTGGCTGGAGGAGAGAGAAAGAAGGAGGACTGTGGCCACGGAGGAGTCCCAGCACAGAAGGGCAGCCACCAACTCAGCTGGGGTGTCTAATCACCCAGAGGACCCTCTCAGGAGGTAGCCAGCAGGCTCTCAGGCTCTGGGTGGCAGGTAGAAGTCTGCCCAGGAGGCCAAGAGGGAGGCCGATTCAGCCCTGTGAGCAGGACACGCCACTGACCAGCAGACAGACTTTCACATTCACACACGCACATCCACGCGACACGCGCGCACACACGGAGCTCAGACATTCACTCACACTCTTTGACATGCCCTCACTTGTACGGATGCAAAAGACCCCAACCCTTCCTGAGGGAGGCCCCCTCATGCACATAGAGCCCAGGGCCAGCCTGCACCCCT